TTCCTTATTATAGGTAATGCAAGATTGTTCTATCATCAACCGTATTGCATGACCACAGACGCCGGGAGATGCCAAGACTTCTGCCACGAGGAGCTGCGGCAGCGAACGGGTTTGGGTCTGACAGGCGCCCTCGGGGGGGGGGGGGGGGGGGCTTTGAGGCCCATAGGGCATAAGAGGGTCTAAGAGGGTCTAAGGGCTGCGTGCAGGGAGTTGGCCAAAGAAGCACTATGTAAGACGAAGTATAAGTCTAAGTTTAATGGGTTTAGGGCTTTAGGGTTCCGGCGCATACCCAGCACGGAAGACATTGTACTGGTACGACATGATCATTAGGATCATTAGGCCGTGCCTTGTGAAGCCAGTCGGCGGCGCCCTCCCTCCTCCAAAGGTTCTGGCCTCCCCTGGAGTGTAGGGTCTAGGGCTTAGTGGGAGGGAAAAAATACAGCCATATAGCCACCAAGGGCAGAATTAACGTCTTTCTGGCGTGTGTAACAGAGATTCCCGGGCTTGAGCCAGCGGGTAGGCCGCAGTAGCTTTGGGTTTACACACGTTGGCACGTATGAGAGCTTTAGATAAGATGTTCTGAGCCTTTCAAACTGCATTGAGGTTTCCTTCTTCAAGGAAGGTAGTCTGGAAAAATGGCAAAAGTTCACTGTTTGAAGTCACGTCACAGGATTCGGATGGTCTTTGAGTGCATGTGTGCATACTCGACGATATCTTTGCTACGTGGAAGGACCCCCAAACTCTAAAAGCTGCAAACCTACTGAGAGCCGAGTCCAGGCCCAGCGCTGGATGCCCTCAACGCAGGCCTTGACAATTTCAGGAGCCGCAAGCATCCACAGCTTGAATTTGGATCTCCGTCGAAGGTCCACCGGCCGTGCCTGCACGCAAAAAGGCTCATGTCGCAGCTCTTATAGAGCATACAATGCTCTCCTCAATATGGCCGCGCAATCGTACTTGATTTGAAGTCGCCGTAAAAACGACTATGGGATTTGAGGCCTTGCGGGCACTCTCCGACATCGCATCGTGCTAGCATCCGCCGTTTTCGTGACATTGGAAGCGTTTGGTGCCACTGAGACAATCTAGGCTCTCTGGAAATACATGCAAGTTTACATGAGCCCAGACATCGCAAAGCCATCCAAATCGTCGTTGTCGTCGTCGTCGCCATTTTAGGGAATGACAAGTACTATGAAATCTTCGCTCGGAGCTTGATACCAAGGTTTCGATTTGCTGCGATGGCGCAGCAGTACGTCGCTGTTGTTGGTTTGTTGGTTAGTACTTTCTGCCTTCAGTCCCTTTTTCCATTCTTATCATTGTTCTTATCATGCACTTACTTTTGCAGGACTGCCGCCGGTGCTGCCCAGCGCAGGGTGTGGATCTCAAGAGACGATCATTTAGCACACCCGTCTATGGCTGGTATTGCACAAAGGTTTGGGATGCAGGTGTTTAGTATTGTTCAGTTGAGGGCCAGTATTCACTGGTTACATACGTAGCATGTGATTAGCCAGGGGTTTAGAGTTTCGCAGCATAGTCAGGCCTCCGTCAGTTGGCTGATTCCATGGCCCAGGCATGATTTTCTCTCGAAAGCCAAAGCACCTTGTAACCCGATAAACTCTAAACCCTGCATGTCCAGGGTGGAGCTGATAAACCTACTTGCGATTTTGCTCCAGTGCGAGAAAAAACTGCAGGACCTAGTCACATTCCGCCGAGTAGTACAGACAGCGGCGACGGAAGCGGTAGTGACCGGTAGTAGATTTGCTCGCACAAGTCCGCCAATCACTTTGTGAGGTAGTGCCGATGAGCACTCGTCACCATCTAAGTTAAGGCTGCTGTATTTACCCTGTCGGTACCGTCAAAACGGCCCATGCTCTTTTGCAAGCCCAGCGGAGGGATTCAACTACGACGGCCTCCTAGAGAGCCCGACTACATCTCCCCATAGCCCAAAAGCCTGAACTCTTGAAAACCCGAACAGCACAAAAGTGGTGGATACATTGAAAACGCTAAGCACGAACGGCCCTCAAGAGCCCTAACTCTGCCTTACACCTAAACCCTGAACCCGAACTCAACCCTCATCAGGGATTACCTGTTGCCTTTGTCAAGGCAATGGAGGCCGGAGGTGAGTCTGATTCTCAGTTCTCGGCTGTTCTGGCTGTTTGGGCTTAAGGGTCGGAACTTGCATCCGTGAATCTACAGTGTACTTCGATGTGCTCCACGCCCCGACGGGCTGTCCAGGGTTGTTTTTAGGGTTCAGGGCTTAAGGCTTCTAAGGTCTTGGTTTGCTGTTCTGGGTTTCTTACTATTTCCTGGAGGGACAACACTTCTAGGCCTCCAAACAGTTTTAGGGTTTAGGGGTGTTTAGGGCGAATGAACATCTTGCAACAATCGTTTCCAGCCCTGCTACGGTCTTTTGAAGTCTCTCCGCATCAATGGCTAAACATGCATGCTCGAGGTCCGAATGCAAACCTACGGTGTAATGTTGTGATCGGACAAAACGAAGATAGAATCCTGTATAATCCCTTTGTAACTAGCTAAGAATGTACCCCGAAACCATGTGAATCCGAAGTGCCTATGCCGGAAACACTTTTCAACCAGACCCAGAACCCAAAGACGCCCTTAGCAAGGCAAGAACCCTAAAGTCCCAACCTCAACTCGCTGCTTTGCTGTACCTCTGTTCTGCACCTAACCCTGCAATGCGGGCTCGTCCTTGCTAAGTGGGAGGGAAAAAAACTCGTCGGGACGAAAAGGGGCGACAATTTCAAATAGCAATTTTTTGCAGAGGCCAAACTCAATATCTCAGCCGAGAGCCAACGAGATTCTGAACCTGGGGCTCCAATCCCTCAAATGTGCTGCTTGCGGCCAGCAAAGGCCTTGCGAACCCGGTGTTGTCGCTATGAAGCTGGAGTCCAAGTGACAAGTCTAGGGGTTGAGATTACGCATAGGCTCCATTGTAGCTTCTTTTGGGGATTTCCTTGTAGGATCCTAAATATATAAAAACCACAAAAAAAAAGAACTGCAAGGGAGCCTATAGGTATAGTGCGGCACAGGGGCGCAGGATTAAGGGCTCGTTATGGGTTTTGGAATTCAGAGCTGTAGAGTATAAGTTGTCAAAATGGGCTTGTGTCGTTTCCTGGCTCAGACGACCGGTCAGTTGTTCTAGGGTTTATAGGTTTTTAGGGTTTAGGGTTTACCTTTTGAATGTTGCGCTTTCCCGGCTGGCGAACAGAGTCCTGGATGCAAAAGGGTTTGGGGTTCTTGTTGTTCTCTGCAAATGCCTGCGGATTACAGTTGTCGCTGGACAGCTACGCAAGCAACGACAGCTTTGCACAGGCGTGGGCCAGACTAGCCCCGAGGTGCTCCGCAGGTAGACAAGTTGTAGAGGTTAAGTATATTCTAAACTACTTGCATGCTCTCTCCCTCTCTCTCTCTCTATGTATATATAAATAAATACATAAATAAATACATACATATATATATATATATGTTGTATATTGTATATTCTGGCTTCAGCCAGTCAGCCAGAGAGCCGGGTTCCAGAATCGATCTCGGCTTGTCGTGGCCGAGCGCGACGAGGCCGCAGCTCCAACGTGGCTTCCCGCATCTCCTGCTGGAGCTGGCTAGGGCACCCGGAACTGTGGCTGCTGGGTTTTTGTTCCTTTCCCTTGATGAAGTAGGATCATTTCTAGCTCGGTCTGGGGTCGGAGGCCCTGCCGTGGGGGAGATACCTCGAATCCCTGAGGATTGTCCTACATTGAGATGTCTTGCGTTTTCACATTGGATTTTTTTCGACAACCACACACGCCCCCTGCCACTAACAACTAACAGCGTTATTGAGGCAACGTTCTGAAGCGGTGCATGTCGAGTGAGGTTCGCATCCTTGGCCTCGGTGGTGAAGGTTTCTCCGGCATCGATTGCTGACCATAAATGCCGAGCCCTGAAAAAAATCTCCTAAACTGCACCAAAGCGGTTCACCCAGAAGCCACAAGTGCTCAAGCCAGGCATTCTGATTTTCTTGTCTGGGCCTCAGGATGTCTCTGCAGGCAGGAAGATCCTTACAGCCGGACGTTGGGTGCTGGTTGACTTCTAACTGAGGCTTTCACCACTCATGCCCCATGTGCCACAGTGCGAAGCATCGGTAAAACTTTCAGGGCCTGTGATGGACACAGGGTGCAGGTCGGCGATGATGTTCGCGGTTTTCGGAGTCCTCGTTCAGGATATCTGCAAGGACGGAGCCCGAAGTGGAGCCAGTGCTTGGACATCAGGGAGAGCTTCATGTCAGCGCGCTTGACCTCTGCAAGATCTGCGAAAGCAGGAAAAGAGAGAGAGAGAGAGAGATAGATAGACAGATAAAGCGACAGACACACAGACTTGCATGCATATTTCTTCTGCACGCGTACCCACATTTATATTATACGTTTAAACTACTCGATAGGTGCGTATTTCTGTTTGTGCATGTGCGTGTTGCTGCTCCTGAGGCCGGGAATGGAGGAGATTTCCGAAGTCTTCGATGTGACCTCCCAGATTCCTTGTAGGATTGCTGGACCCTGCCTCTATCTATATATGTATGTATATATTTAATATATATATATATACATATATCTATCTATCTATCTATCTATCTACATACATACATACATACATACATACATACATACATACATACATACATACACTCTTTTGCCGTAAACCACCCCCAAAGTCGACCTGATCCATCGGAGTGAGAGGTGAGAACTCGGAGGGTGTGAAAGGCGACTTCCTGCAGTGCAAACGTACGGCCGCGCAGTCTTGCCGGCCCCTCATTCCTCGAAATTTCAGCTGTGCAGGTACTGGAGGTGTTGGAGCAACCACCGCAAGAACAGTCAGCAACAGGCCCCCGGCTCCACAGCTCCAGATAGTCCCTGAATCGCTTCGCGTCAGGCTCCCGGCAGACACTTTGTCTCCCAGTTCCCGGGAGGGAGATTGAATTCCCTCCATAGCCCATCGAGGTTCCATGGTAGCCCTAAACCCATGGACCTTGCATGGAGTGCTGCGAAGACTTGTGCGACGATCCACACGTGGCCGCTGGGCGTTGCCATATTGGCCAGCAGGTGAGCAGTAGGTGTTGATAGGAAGCCTGTCTCCATGGTGGCCTGCGCGATGCAAGCTATCAGTACTCAAGTCCCCCTACTGCCGAAGTCCAGCCTTATTCCAAACTCCCCTGATCATTCGTGAACATGGCGCTTCGTTGTGCTCTTGCCTTGCTGGCTGTGTGCGTGGCGGCAGGAGAGGTTGCGTCAGGAGGTAGCCAACGACCACCGGGAGGCTTAACATGTGGCTAGGCACATGCTCTTGGTTTCAATCCAAGCGCGCATGTACTCATATCCGTGCTTCAAGGCTGTACATGTGCATCGCTCGTGGTCATTTCGTGTCTAAACGCATACTTGGAATACTATTCCTTAGGGCTATTAGGGCTCCCCAATAGCCACTACATAGTAGAACATGAAGCCCCGAAGAACCCTCTTCGAATTCTGTGGTCCGCCTCAAGGAGATGCCAACCTCGCAGCTTACCTCAAGCGTCGGGAGGAGCTTCCTGGCATGGGGTTGAGGGTTTACGGTTTTGGGAAGCTAGAATTTGACTGTCGGTAGGATTCGGGCTTAGATTCTTGGGTTCAGGTTCTCGGGCTTGGGGTTTCGGGTCGGGGAAGCTGGCCGTGCCGCATCGTCAGCAGCTTCGTCTTGGCAGTGTGTCTCATGCAAAACCCTAACCCTATAGTCTATAAACCCTAATATGTGTGTCTCAATGTGAGGTTTCTCCAGGCGGAGGATGCGCTCATGGACGGCTCTGGGCTGAAGCTCAGCCAGGCAGCGGGGAGCGGGGCACGTTGAGGTCCCTCGAGGTTTAGGTAGGCTTAGGGTGGAGAAGCTGAAGCAAGCTCCCTGCGAGCGCTTCTGCAAGCTGAATACATAGGATTCGAGCAGCAGACCGGCAGTAAACACGAGACCCTTGTAAGAGGGTTTTTCTAGGCATCTCGAATTCTCGTCGATGGGGTGGCTTTGAAGAACCTGTGTTCGTTGAGAGCCCGGCGGTTTAATTCTTTCATCTTGCATAGGCAAGATGGGCGTGGGGGGGGGGGGTTGAGTTGTTCGGCTCTGGGGTTCAGCCATGGGCTTTGGAGTATCGATGATATTCCACATATCCAAGCCCAGAATCAAGCGATCGTTTGTTCGAAGGCTGCAGGGCAGGGCGGATGCACAGTGGTCTTGGCAACATCGATGATAAGCAACCTCCATATGGTGTCAAGTCGTTGATGCCTTTGGATGCACAGGCCGAGCAGGAGTTCGATCGCTGGCTGAATTCGACTGTTGGAAGAATGATCCAAGAGCAACTGGGATCCAGAGAAGCCATGGAATGTAACTACTTGTTCACAGGTTCCTGAAGGGCGTTATTAAAATTTGTATCCGGATTCCATGCGGTCTAATGGGAGGTTTAGAGCTCCGAAACGCAGCAAGGGCTTGGGTTTGGGGGTTGCTCAATCTTAATCTTATTTGGGTTTAGAAATTCTGCACAGGTTGGACTCAATAATTCGAATAGGGAGTTATGAGTTCACTCGCCTATATTGAAAGAGCTTGGACCCTCACAGTCGATCTTTGCAGTCTCATGGTCACTCATGGTCAAGTTCGAACGAATCAACGATTTATAGCGAGGGGATGCAAAGGGCTTCAGTCATATGTTGCTGTCGTGCTGTCTATTTTTCACTAGCCGGCCGTGGTTGATGCTTTGCCCGAATTTCCGAAGGCATCCTAGCATGCTCTGAGGCACATGGCGGTGAGGGCTCAAGAATGGCTTCAGGCCTACACTCCCACCAATCCTTGGCAGTGTTGCCTGGCACGAAAGCACGCAAATCCACACGTCTGTGACTGAGCACATCATGAGACACAACGTGCAGCAGGCTGAAATCCCAATGTCGTCTGGCCACAGCCATGGTGGTGAGGAGCCAGTGAAGCTTGAGCTACCGGCCGATGATTGGAAGTCCGTGTCACTGCTTTCAGGGGCCTGGGCCGCAGCCTTCGCCAATTTTGCTTCCAATGTAGCCACACTCACACTGGCAGTCGCTACAACAGCTCCCGCTGTGGAGCTGCAGACATTGCCTCTTGGCCTTCTGCTGGTGATGCAAGCCGCTGGGAACATGGCCCTTCCGGCAAAGGTGCGGTATTTGGGCCGGAAGAACATGTACCTGACTGGTGCGGGGGTCGGGCTCCTGAGCTGTGGGACCCTGGCCTTGGGCTCCGGGCTCCAAAACTTCGGCCTTCAGTGCCTGGGTGCCTGCCTTTCAGGCTACAGCTTCGCGTATGCCGAGAACTATCGCTTTGGTGCCATCCAGGCTATGCCCTCTAACCCACCTCGTGCCATCAGCTTGGTGCTCTTCGGTGGCGTTGTCGGGGCCTTGCTGGGCTCTGGTGCTATTTCACAGGCCCGGGACTTGCTGCCTGTCCCCTTCATTGGCATCTACCTCTGCGGTGCGCTTCTAAATCTGCTGGCTGTGCTGTCCCTGAGCTTCATAGAGCTCCGTGGAACAACGGCGCAGCCAAAGGCTGCTACGAGGGTCCAACCCCGGCCGCTCACAGAAATACTGCTGCAGCCTCAGTGCGCGGCCGCCGTAGTGACGATAGTGGCCTCCTACAGCATCATGCTGGTGCTCATGGCACCAACTCCGGCTGTCATGAAGAGCTACTCTCATTCCTTCACGGCATCCACATTGACCATGATGGGACACATGTTCTGCATGTTTGCGCCCTCGCCTCTGACTGGCATAGCCATGGGAAGGGTGGGACCCACACCAGTGATTCTGGCCGGACTTGTTTGTGCCGTGCTCACCGCTTGCGTGCTCTATCTCGGTGCAGGCCTCTCGTCTTTCGTCGTCGGCATGGCATCGCTGGGAATTGCATGGAACTTCATGTACCTTGGAGGTTCGGCGCTGCTGACGAAGATGCACACCGTGGCTGAGGGCCCCAAGGTACAGGCATTGACGGATTGTTTTGGCAGCATGGGCGCGGCCATGTTCACTCTTCTTTCCATGCCGATTGTGGCCAGCTTAGGCTGGATCCCTACACAGCTCTTGAGTTTGAGTATGACTGGGGTGACCGCTATTCTTCTCGCTACTTTCTGGGCGCTTGACAGACGACAAGCAGCAACCGACGGATTTACCAATTCATGCACGTAGAACCTTGAGGCGCAACAGTTGCCAGCATAGAAAGCTCACTGAAAGGAGGGGGCTTCTCTGGACTTCCCAGCGGACTGTCTATGGACAGACATGTCGTCGTTGGGAGCATGAGGGATGTGGATGATGTACAGCCGATGAGCAATGCATGAAACGCGCCTGGTGGAGTCACTAGTTGAGCACTGAAGGCCATCTGTGTCATTGAGGTACAAGAATGAGAGGTTGGTGGACCGCTTTGTTCCTGCAACCTATTTTCCGATGCCTGGCAGCAGTTGGTTTAGATCCGTTGGCTGCATGGAACCGTCGGAAGTGCACTCTGCATGGTGAAGACTCCTCATAATAATAATAATAATATATAAAAATACAAAAATCGATGCAGAATGCTTGAGCCTGCTCCTGATCCCTACACTCTCCAACCAGCAGTCTGTTGCAGACAGGAAAGTGCGCGCCCACATCGAGAACACAACCCTGTACAAAGTCCTCCGAAAAAT